GCAAATATAGGTATTTAATGGCATATTTGATGTTGTGGATCAAAACTTTGATTGGACACAGACATCTTGTTATGAGATAAAAAGTAAAAAAGATAGTGTCATGGGAAAACATGTATTATATTGAAGATAAGTTGTAATTTCAGGAACGATTTCACAATGATTGGCTACCATTTAAACAACGTATTTATTGGAGAATTACTTACTTTATTTATTTAATATTGAATATGTATGCTATATACTAAGTATTATGATAAAACTATGTTGTATATTTGTATATAAATATATATATATATTGAGCTGCTTCCTTGCATGAAAGGTAGCATGCAAATAAAGTTGTTATTTATTATTATTATTATATACTATTTCAGTCAGCGTTAAATCAAACATTTAAGCATTATCAACTTTTTTTTTTTAAACATACCATTTTTGCAGCTTTATTTAATGGAATCACTCAACAAGAGGCGCTTTCACACCGGAGTACTTTTACCCGTACTTTTCCCATTTAGTTCCGATAGTGCCTGGAATTTTGCGTTCACACCAAAAAGAGAACTTAGTTCAGAGAACTTTTACCCTCATTTGTAGTGTCTGCTAGAGAGGTGGTACTATCCTGGGGAGAGAAAAGTACCAATTTCTGATTGGCTGGGCGAATTGCAAACCACGCCCCGTAAAACTCTGGAAAGTTTTTTGAAGCCGCCATTGTATTTGCTGGCATTAGCATTATTAGCATTAGCCCCGCGCACCAACGGAGAGAGAATAACTTATGGCAACACACAAAAAAACATGGGAGCGGTGGAGATGAGGAGGTGTCGGCGTTCTGGTGACTTACTCGGAAGGCTTCAGTAGAAGCTGCTGGGAGTCCCAGCAGCTTCTACTGAAGCCAGTCCCCAACTCCGGGGACTTCCGGCGGGGACTTCGGGTGGCAGTATACGCCGTGAAGTTGTTTGCGGCCTGGCAGTAAACCCAGCGCAGAAGAAGAAGAAGTGACGTCAGCGGCTTCATTTGCGTAATCTTCCCTCAGGGAATCTATTCCGGTGTGAACGCGATCTGCTCTTAGTTCCATGGAGAACTAAGGGCTGGGAACTAAGTGCTGGAAACTAAGTGCTGGGAACTAAGTGCTGGGAACTAAGTACAGCAAAGTACTTGGTGTGAAAGCGGCTATTACCACCCTGACTCAATTTGTTTTAAATGTAAGATTTAAATTGTCAACATCACCTATTTGATTTTGTTGAAAGTTCAACAGATTGTATTTGAAGCTCTGATTGACAGTTTTTCATTACTTTCATTCAGTTTAACTTCTTCAAATAAGTAGTTGCCTTGTTTAGACTTCTCCAAACAGTCATTACTTAGAGTAGTTATACAAGACTGCCTCCTCGGTTCAGCAAACACCTCTGAATGAAAAGGGGAAAAAGTTTAGGGCCGCTGGACTTCCCGCAATTTGCATTTAAAGATGAATTCAGAGTTGCTGGAGTATAGATATATTGTAATGTCTAGAAAGCATATAGTGGAAGGAACAAGCCCAGCCAGCTGTGCTTACCTCCTTAAAGTCACCTAATGGGGGAACTGAAAGGCCTTGGGGGAAATCGGTTCTTATGCCTCTTGCTCAGGGCCCCTCCTGTGGTTGGTAAAACTGCTCCTTTGGCAGACAATGTTTATCCACTTCCATTGGAAGTGTTGCCCAACAGCCTCGTTATGAGCTACTGACACATATTCATCTGTTCAAAAAGCCTTGGGTGGAAAGATTCATTCCGTCTGCAACATCTGGTATGTTTTCCTCTATGAGGCTCGTCTTCAGACAGTAAATACCAGTCGTCATAAAAAGTCTACGCTTGTTCAGACTCTGGTGCTTCAGTCGTTTTCTAACCAACAGAGAGCAAACATTGTCATTTTAATACATCCAGCATGGTGACAGATTCTTACAGCACCTGTCCGACGATGGCATAAAGCTTAAAGAGCTCCTTTTCAGGTTCATCTTTTTATTTTGTGTCTCTACTGTGACATGTTTAGTAAGGGATAATGTGCAGCGAGGCGGTCATTATGGGTAAAAGAACACCCGAGAAGCTGATCAGGAGCCCGACGCGAAAATGGTTTAATATTCAAAAAATGCTTTGTTTGCCTCTTTTCATCTTCATTCTGAATCAGAACCCAGTCTGCTCTGATTGGTTAGCTGGCCGGCTCTGTTGTGATTGGTTAACCGCTCAAAGATGTCTTGCCCCTCAGACTATCAAGTATCAAGTTGGAGCGCTAGCCAGAGTGTCTCATAGTGATGTCACTATGTTACGGAAGTCAACAAAGGAGTCCAATGGAAGTGTTTCAGGCGAGATTTGAGGTTGTTTAACCTTTGCAGACCATGGACAATGCACACACATATAACACACAACAGGAAAGGGAAACCCAAAGACCATGCAAGGTCATGTTTTAAGTTAAATGTTGTGTTATTGTGAAAAGAGTTTAAACCACATTTTAGAATGCTATTCAACAAACCAAAAGCCAACGTCAAGAAGGGCCCGACCACAATTTAGTCAATTTCAAGGACCTTTTCACACAAATAGAAAATTGAGAAAAGCAGCAGATGAAGAAGCTGCATGTGACCGGCATAATTTTACCTATTAGCATTAAGTATTATTTATTTTTCCTTGAAATGGTTGTGTGTATTCAGATGATGTCCACATTGTTCAAGGTTCTTCAAGGCTCAAGAACACGTTTAAATTCATTGATTTAAATAAAGATTATTTTAGTAAGTACAAGTTACATGAAGAGGGAAAACCAAGCTACATTATTAATGTGTTTCAACAAAACAAAAGGAATGTAATGCTGTCTCTCAGGACTGTGAAGTGTTTCCGAAAGATTAGTATTGTGTATTCTTCTGCTCAGTTTGCATTTGATATAATCGGCCCAAGTCTAGTGACCATCTGCATTTATTCTCGGCTGAAGACGTCCCATGTGAGCGTAATCAATGTACTGTAAACTAAGTATGAGCAAACGTTTCATGAAGCTATGGTTTTCTTGAAAAAAAATGATGTGTCTGGCTTTGTTCTCTTTCAATAAAACTTTCCATTTCCATCACTGACACCCCAACGTGTCTATCTGAATTGGCACCTGGGCTTCTCACTTGTGCAAAGGTGTCTTTAAGCGTTAACTAAATGTGTTTCTCCGTCTTGACAGGCAAACAGGAGCAGCAGAGGGGAAGAAGTAGTTTAGAGAGGTTAACGCCACTTGCATATAGTGTTTATCAAAAAGTACATGACAGCTTCTTTGATAGGTTACTATCAGTGCACTTTGTGCTACTTCAACGCACCTAAGCTCAACCTTGCTCTTAACACAAACCTGATGTAATAACTGTGTTTAACTGAGGAGCAGTTCATCCAAAAAGAAACATTTGGTAAATAGTTTTCTTAACTGCTCTTACTGGCACTATAGTTGACACCAATGACATGTTTTAGTAGAGAAACTTTGTGTCTTTTTAGCATATGTTGCCATAATTGCCAAAGGTATTTCACTGTAGCTGCTCCTTTCACAGAAGGGCTTATGAAAACACTGACATTTCCTCATTGTTTTTGCCTGAGGCAATGCATCAATTTAAATGTGATTAGAAAGGTGCGTATTTCTCGCCCTTCTCAGTGATCTCAGACACCTAACCTGTTACATATTTCTGTGAAAAGGAGGTTGAGATGTGAATTTGAATATTTAATTTATCAGGACATACAGCACAAATTAGCTTAACTTGACAAATAACATTAATGATGTTCTATTTTTGATTTTCAGAATGGGATCTGGGTGAATTGTTAATGCATTTATGATGCACTTTTTCTAGTTTTGTAAGACCTCTTAAAACACACACACACACACACACACACACACACACACACACACACACACACACACACACACACACACACACACACACACACACACACACACACACCATTGAGATGGTGTGTGTGTGTGTGTGTGTGTGTGTGTGTGTGTGTGTGTGTGTGTGTGTGTGTGTGTGTGTGTGTGTGTGTGTGTGTGTGTGTGTGTGTGTTTTAANGAAATTCACTATTTGAGGACGACCTTAGACGACACGAGTCGTGCTTAAGAAACAACGCCCGATGTAGTGGTTGTTTTCACGCTACACTCCCATGACTTCAGGTATTGACGTTTGTGGTAGTGTTGTGCCTGTAAAGACTTAGTAGTCTTCTTAAGGAAGTTGGACGTAGTCTGTCAAGACGCTGGTTTCTAGCCTTGTTAGTAACCGTCTTTGCTTCCCCGTGCCTTGTTGTGTTTCTTGACCACGAATCCTCCGCCTACCTGCCACACTAGCGGGACCAGTGACACGTTCATACCTTAGGGAATATGTGTATGTCCTGGAGTGTTCATTTGTTCCACCAACTACAAGTTATCACGCCCAGTCGATAATCACCTTACATAGATACATACTTTCGGAGGCAGGTTTATGAATATCGGCTTTGTGTCGACTCTTAGAAAAGAATAGCTTGGTCTGTAATACTAAAGTCCTCAAAAAAAACCGCTCGTAAAGGTCGAGTTTTCGAAATTGGTACAAGTGTTTATACTGCGACTTTAGTTTAAAGAGTATACTATCCGGGTAGAAATTTTTATAATAACACACAAGACTTACAATAAAGGTCATCATTACTTCAGGGAAGTTCACAGGTGTAACGCTTTTCCCTCCCCGACAACGCTACACAGTCAAAGACCTCTCACTTTTTGGAGAAGTACTTCCTGTTAACACCGTCTGTCTGTGTGTGTCTGTTGTTACCGACTCTTTGTTCTGTACACCTGTAGCCAAGCCTGCAAACTGGACGTTTTCAATCCAATTAAAAAACTTGATATCTCTTAAATTTTAAGAGGTTAAATTATTTTTATGACTGAAAGATAAAATATCTGATTTTACGGCAAACGGTCTGTACTATTCCAGTCGAGCATTTTGTTCACTACCATACCTTTGAATTCTTGTGGTATATCATTAACTTGTCGATCATGACCTGTGAGAAAAATATATTCATTCAATTTTCTATCATACTATACAACCTGTATGAGTATCTCATGAATATGACCACCTGTCAATCATGGCCACTAATATCATTCTCTAATACATATTTCGCATGGTCATCATTTAAAAACATTACCTTTGAAAACCACAATGTTTGCAGTTTTGATCGATTTCCACAAATGTGCCCATTGTTCTCCGAAGGCGACCTGGCGAGTTCTCTTTACACATCGGACAATGGGTGAATAATGACATCAGGGAAGACATGAACAAAAGCAGAAGCTTACTCCTAAGTGGATCATTGTCGTCCTGGTTGTCACTGTCCCTGTGAAATGGACAAAGAGTAAAATGATCAAGTCTGCAATAAATGGCTGGATCCGACCCGGCATAATGATAATGTAGCAACATTTAAAAAAACATGACAAAACGATACTCATCAGCTGACGAATCAGATTCCACGTCTGATGGGCTATAAAGATGATCATTTTGATTATCCTCTTCATGTTGGCTATTGTCCGCCTCAAGCTCTTTTTCCTCATCATGTGTTTGTGTCCCAACAGTACACGCAGTTGGTTTGACTTCAATTCCTGAGAATATTATATATAATATTATATAATTATATATATACGCATGTATGTATGTGTATTTGTATCTTACATATCAATATTTAAATATTATGATACTGACCTTTGGAACAACCAACATGGATTCGAACTTGCTGACCTGAAACGTGGTCGTGCCTGCATGGACTTGTGGTGTATTCGTGGAGGGGGGTCCGTTTCAGTGGCGGCGCCAGAGATTTTCTCTAGGGGGTGCTGTGGGGTAGCTTGACGTTTCAAAGAGGGTGCTCAAACTTTAAGGGTTTCCCATTAATGCACCAGCGCTACAGTTGAATTTTATACTGCAACTCATACTTGTCAACCGACAACTTGTCAACTCCCGATTTCATTGCCCTCTCCCGGTTTCCTCCCGGGGTCATATTTCTCCCGCATTTCTCCCGATTTCTCACAAAATCAGATTTACACACAACTGTTTCCATTCGGACTTTAATACAGCTTAACCATTGTTTGGTTTCCATGGTAACACGTCTCTTTAGTAGCGCGCGCAACTGAAAGTCTGACAGGGTGAGGCAGATAGTCACAGAAAACAGAACAAAAATCGACAACTACTCTACTCTCTGCTCACTCCTTTCCTGCCCACACATATGCTCCATCAAGGATGGTGCTACAGGCCGCAAGGCATTGCACTTAGCACTATAAGCATGTTAATGTTAATCTAACAGCTCCGGCGATCCACTAGCACCCCGAACGTGGACAACAGAGAAACATATTCTTCATGACCAAAGTTGGAATTGAAATAAAAAAGGAAAGTGAAACTTATGCTCGTCACCCTCTCCCTCCGGTCCACATTAATACAAATGATCCCAATACGCATGAACTATGAAAAGATCTTAAAATCAATACAAATGTATTTATTATAAACGTTAGTCCTTAACATCTTTTTAAAAAGTTGAACAAACCCCACACAGCTCAGTAAAGACTGTGAAATCTTGACTTTATTTGATCATTTCAGTAAAAACTAACGTCCATATTTCTCTTTTTGATTATAATACTGATGAACGTTCAAAACAAAGCACTTTGGCAAGTTATCGTTTTTAAAAAGCTTAATAAGCACCGTAACTTTCATGATATCATTTCTCGGTCACAATCGGTTGTTTCCGTGAACGGCCGACTCTTGTGTGAAGCAAATGATGCGGCTGCAAGGCATTGTGGGGCAGCATTTTCTCCTCTCCTTTCGGTAAGGGAGGTCCAGTGGTTCCTAAGCTAAAGGAGGTTATAAAGGAAAAACACAGCCCTGTTGAAATTACCTCTTTTATCTTTTGTTCAAAAATTACGATGCCCCCGAGCTAATAATGTAGTCGTTTCTTAGTGTAAATGACCTCTTGTGTTCTCTTTGATTCTGACCCGGGCGTTTTACTCCGTTTCTGTACTTGTACTCTATTATAATATAGTGTTAAAAGTGTTCTCGTTACAAAATAAGTTTGTTTTTGTTCCTTGCACGTGTTTACAAGAATAGTGAAGAGTTTTTCCTCGTCTTTCGTCTGTACACATCACAACGAGTCTCTGCTGAGGAGAGTCTGAACTACACTTTGGAGGTCCTTGTTTTCCCCTTCCCTCCACGACTTGTGTAAATGGGAAATAGGGAGGGGGGATTTAGGGTGGGACCATGGGGGAGGAGAGGTTTCTACCTGAGGTCCCGATCAGATGAAGTTCGATTATGTCCCCGAAGGTTTACCCGGTAAAGTTAAGACGTAAGTCTTTCCTCTAATAAGTTCCTAACTTTTCATTGCTAGTACGTGTTCTACATTTATAAATAAGTTGCTGGGAGGAAAGTGGCGTTAAGTTACCCTTACTAAACTACCCTTGATAAGTATAAATTTGTAAATTGATTTGTGGAAAGAGGTCTTTATAACTGAGAGTCACTCAAAGTCAAGATTGGACCCTATTGACGCTGACTTAAGAGTGTAATGTTCATAAAATACCAGAGAGAAGAGTAATGGGTTGCACAGAAATCACAAACTTCTAGTGAAATTTTTTTCCTGTTTCTTTGGTTGAGTTTGTAAATTACTTGTATTTACACTTTATTTTTATAAAGTCACTTACAAAACGCTCATTTGATTTGTATCGTTCTTGGAAGACTTGAACTACGAGTGATTTTAACGGTTGACGGGTGTGTTATTGCCAACTACTACTACCTAATTCTTCAGTAATATGTATGTACTCATATAATTCTTGACATACCAATTTCTCCCTACCAAATAAATGTCTACAAGGGATTTGCAAGTAAAGTGTCCGACGGGTACCATCTGACCTAGTAACAATGGTAAGTCGTTAGCGTCGTTGTCGTGTTCCCGACGAAATAGTTTTAGTTGTGTGTACAACTAGTTAGTCTCGTGAGACTTTTACATCAGGTATTTTTTTGAGACCCAAAATCTTGAATCCAGTAACAACCCATCGAAATGTAAACATCTTTTCGTCCTCCTTACGATACGAACTGAGTCTTTTCCTAGTCCTACCTCCGTCTCGACTCACGCGACCACCTGAACATTCTAATGATGGTGGCTCTTTTCCCCAAAAGGGTGTGAGAAGTGCGACACTCAAGAGAGAACGAAACCTTACGTTAAACGACTGAGACTTGGAGAAGAACTAAAAATCATTTTAGAAAGAGGTGTAAACGCAGGGGCGACCTTTCCCAAACCCCGAAAGGAAAGAAGAAGAGACAAAGATTCTTTCTGTCCTGCCCTATTTCCCAGTACACTTCTCCTGCCAACTACGTCTAATTAGATTTTTATTCTCAGACGAATTTATTTGGGGTGTTACAAGTGTGTCATCCCTTTATATTACGTCTACATAAACCATTTATGATAAAAAGACTTGAACTCTGAGTGAAGAGAGAAAAACCGTCCAAAAAGTTTAGAGTGTCGGGAAGAAATGAGTGTGTCCTCCTTATGTTATTTATTTGACCCAATGTACGTATTTTGTGATTTTTAATAGGGAGCCAATTTTGTACCATTTTGATATAACAAGGGGGACACTAAATAATTTGTAATTACCGTAAAATTTTCATGTACATGATTAATTATTATTAATTATTATTGTTATTAGTCTTATTATGACAAAATCAGAGTAGATATAATAAAAGAAAGAAATCAATTCAGTTCCCGGTTCGGAATTTTTAAATATACGTTCCACTAACCTTCGATTACTATTCCATTATTTGTCAAAAGATTACCTACGTCATTTCTCAGAGAAACACAGCTGTGTAAATTAACCCCTTTTTATCTTTTTTTCAAAGCATACGTCCTAAATGCCTGTTTTATGCTCCTTTTCGTCCGCAGTGTTAAAATCGGAATTAATTGTTTAGTATATAGTGAACGAAATTCGAGACTTGCTAGTGTTGTACCATCTAATTTGTCATAAATCGTTTTTGTTTTTATTTTTTCGAGATAGTTAGCCTTTACTTCTAACTAAGATATTTTTTATGTCAGTAACCTCGTACTGCGAACTCCAGATGGAGTGTCCACTAATATCCCTTCATTTTTTGATATTATGATGTTGTCCTTTAACGGGTAGAGTTGTCCTGCAACCAAACCTGTAAAAGCCCCGACGGCGGAAAGACGTTTACACTCAAATAAAGTGTCTTAATTGCCACATCCCGTATATATGTCTAATACCCGAGTGTTTTGATTTTATGGACCCCGTCTTCGTGATTGTTTTAGTCATAAAGAGGTAGGTGGTGGGCTCGGGAGTACTTCGATACGAGAAACCTCTTTTTCAATTGCCCCACGCCGATCCGCACACCATGCCCCCAACCACCCTGAAACTCCTAATGATGCCGGCGTGCCTTTTTCAAAAAGGTGTTAAAAGTGTCCGACACACCAAAGTCAAGGGCACAACTTCGGTCATCCCACCTGCCCGTTCCGGACTAAGGACGGCCCTTTTGCAAAGAGTGTCACCCAGTGTCGGACGCCCATTACCAAGAGAGGCCACCAACGCGTATGTCGGGCTACACAAATAATTTAACTTGGAAGAAGAGTATTTACCACCTCGGGACGGTTTACCAGTGTTCGACCATACCCAAAGAAAAGGTCACCACTTCCGGCAGAACAACTGAGAGTTCGGCCTCAGACCACGTTTTCTGACGAGGTGTAAGGAGTGTCGACCATGCCAAAGAGAGGCCACGCTTTGAGCGGGACCTACCGTAAAACACTCGATCTCCTTGAGACTAACCCTTCAGAATGGGTGTAACCAGCTGTGGCTTATGAAAGAGAAATCACCCACTTGTGGCGGCCCTACTTCAAAATCACATCAAAAATGAAAAAATTTTTCAAAGGGTGTGAGCCATACGTCTACATTGCCGAGAGAGAGACCCACCTTAATGAAATACTAACATTCGAGTGACCGGCCTCACGGCCTTCGAAACAGTGTACCCCACCAGCGGTCCTAAACGCCCAAAGAGAGGACATACCCTTCGGATCCAAACACTTAGTGGTACCCGGAGGACCTTCTCTCTTGAAAAGGGTGTAACGCGAGTGTCCGCGCATCGCCAAAGAGAGGTCACACTCTGCGCCAACACCCCTCAAATCGGCTAAGGCCCCTTCCTCCCTCCAGCCGGGGCGTAAACCCAGTGTCCGACTTCTACAAAAGGCTACACTTCAGGAGACACACGTGTAAAATTTATGAGCTATCAAACACTTCCTAACAGTGGTCACGACCCTGTCGACCAACCCAAAAAACCCAGGATACAAAAGAGGAGACCAAAGAT